ATTTAGGTCGTTAGGTGCTCAATGTATTTCTATCTTCCTAAGTTCTCTCTTTTACCACACTAGACTTGGTATGATAACTTTCTATGCTCTCTAACCAATACAGCAATATAGTCTTCTTATTCATTCAACTTTTGTCTCAACTTACTTAGGTAGCTATTCAACATGCTATTCTCTGTCTGTACTTGGGTACTTTCTTCTTCCAATTCAACATATTCTTATTTCAATCTTGCATTCTCTTCAATCAGCTCAACAATTGTTATCTCTTTAGCCTTTTCTCTCACACATAACCTTTTATGTTCTTGGTGCAGCTCTGCAAGGTCTTCAATAGTTGTATCACATTCTCTAGCAATCTTGTAAACTCTGGCTTCATGTCTTTCAGCTCTATCTTTCCACTAATCTTTTTTTTTAAGCTTTTAGATTTTTTGCTTTAACTTATCCTTTTTTAGACTCAAATTCTTTTGTCGCAAGCTCTAATTATGATAGTGTCTCTTCAAGCTTTCCTCTTGTTGGTGATTGAAAGCTTTCATAAGTGAATATCATTTCTTGTCTTCGTCTTGCTCTCCAAAGTAAATACCCTAAAGTGACTTTATCAGTGAATGGTCCAAAACTCACTCTTCGAAGGTTTTTTCATGCTGTAATCATCTCATTCATCCTCTGAAATACTTTTGGCTCACTGTAAGAGAAATCTAACTGATAAAGCCCATGAGTCATAGGAATGAACTGTTCTACCCTAAACTGCCTTCTCACTAAAAATGGTGCATAACTTGTTACTCCCCATAAACTCAAAATTGGGACCATAGTATTATCTCTACACTAATACAACATAGGTTCACAATTCATCCACGAGACCAACCATCTTACTTCAGTACTGGTTAATTTTTGTAAGAAAGCTATCCACTCTTTTTTAGACTTTTGTTCTGACCACCCACTTTCATAAAATTTTTTGATCAGAGCTCGATTACGGACATAAAGCTTTGAGAAAGCATATTTTCTTCACTCGAAGTAGCTTTTCATCCATAAGTATAATAACTGTATGTAGCCTATAAAACGTCTTCCATTCCGATGACAGTAACTCAAAGATCTGATATTCTCTGCTAATATTATCGTTGAAGGGTTACAACCATTGATCACACTCTCGAAGAAGTCAACCTCGCTATTTCAATATAACCCAAAATCTTTGAAAATATCACCATTCCATATATAGCTAAAGCAAATACATCTAAACCCCATTCTTCGTTGGCATGTTACACTAAAAATGCATGAAAGAACTTCCAAGATAGGCAAACCTATTCTTATTTCTTCTTTGTATGAGAATCCATAACTTCTTTGTCTATCCCCATGAGTCGAGCCAAACCCTTACGAAATCCTGACTTATGTTTTTTGACATATATCTTATCAGGAGCCTTGAGGTGCAAACCCAACAAATTTGAATATTCTTTGATAGTTAGTGTCATATCAACTTCATTAAAGATGAAACACTTGTATATAGGATTCCAGAATTACGCTGCAGCTCTGATTAGTTGATCATCGATAACTACTACGAGAAGGTGTGCTATATGCCCATGTCTTTGGCAAAACTTCTCTTATCTAGCTGGGCTCATCTTCTTCCATATATCAACCAACTCTTCTAGATTATTTTGTTTGAAGAGGATAGACGTTTTTTAGGATATGGTAGAATCATAGCCGATTGGTAAACAGTCTCCCATCTTTAGTTGTATCTTTTCTGACTGGATTTTTACTTCATTGGGTAGCTCACAAGGAGCTAATACAGATGAAAAGCAAACTAATCGTTCTGTGGAGTCCATGAAAAACTTTTTGTTGAAGACCGTCTTTCAAGCAAATGTTCTTTATACAACTTTATGATGTGAGCATAAACCAATACAAAAGAATGAGAGAAAAGGTTAGTATGCCCAAAAAAAAAAATAACTAATAAAATTAAAACATCACACAGAATAAGAGGAATGAACCCTATGCTTTTGGTTAATTCTAAAAGGGAAGGATAATGGCTCTATTTATAGGTTAGGCACTATTAAGGTTCACTATATGTGGTTTGAGGTAAAGTCTAAAGGTTCCCAAATTGCTCCTTACATCATTGTCCATCACAGACTAGTAAGGCATCATAATCCTTACCCATTACAGGCTACAAGCGAAAAATATTCAATTTGAGTGAGAGTATTTCGCTAGCCACTGTAGAGGCATTAAACCTCATGAAAGCAATAGGTAATTTACTCCCTTCTAGAGGGCCGGAGCTCGGGTATATAGCTCATGTTATGCATATACATGTGAATGACATAATTAATAAAGTAAATAAACATGAATGAATAAAAAAATCTATACAAAAGGCTCAATTTTATTAGGCTTTTGGACAACACAAAATTTTTTTTACTGGCCTGACTCTCAGTGGTGTCCCCAGTGGAGTCGCCAAACTGTCATAATGTCTAGATCCAGGGATCTATCGTTAGACATTGACTTAAGGAGTCGTCACCAATCTTTTTTTATATACGTGCGATTGGTCACCTAAGGAATCTATCCTTTTAAGAAACACCTAAACTTAAGGATCCTTAAAAGAATAGGTTTAGGTCTACTAACCAGAACAGGGTTCGGGAGTACGATTACGTGTGAGAAAGGTTATAGCACCCTCACAACGCCCATCGAAGATGGTACCGGCTTAATTTTGTGTTATCCAATAAGCTTTAAAAACTTACCAAGTAATTAATTATTGAAAATTATTCTCAATTGACTTTAATACTTTTAGCAAAAAATTGAAAAAATTTTCTCACCTCAAGAGTATGTAAGGAGACTACTGTTTCACTTGCAGAGGCTCTATCGTCAGATTATTTAACATTAAAAAAATTCAAAAAAAAGAAAAAAAATAATGATTCAGCTTTAGATATAAATCATTTTTTTTCAAAAACTCATTGCTTTTGTACAAGAAAAATTGATACATTCAACCTTTTTTCAAAATATTTTTTTGAAACTCTAATTTCGAGGAAAATTGATACTTTCAACTTTTTTTAAAAAATATAATTTTTAAAAATTTTATTTAAAGAAAATCAAAATAATAATAATAAAATAAAATAAAAATAAAAATAAAATAAAATAAAACAAAACAAAAGGATACTAAATAATTCTAATTTAATCAATAAATAATAAATAATAATAATAATAATAAAAGAAATAATAATAATAAATAAGAAAAAAAAACCTTAACGCGGCTTGGCTTGAGCGGCTGAGATCGGCTCGGCTTGAGGAAAAAAAAACGGCTTGAAGAACACGGCTATGGAGCACATGGCTCAGCTCGGCTCTAAGGGAAGCTTAGTACTCGGGTCGTTGGAGCGAATCACGATCGGGTCGAATCTTGACAAAACGTGTGGATCCTGTGAGTTCACTAACGCTAAAACAACGTTGTTTTATGGCACTATAAAAGGCTCCAACCTATGTTTTTCTACGGATCGCTTCTTTCCTTTTCTCTCTCCTCTCTCTTTTTTCTTCTCCTTCTCTCTAAAGAAACCAAGAACACCGATTGAATCTCATCGGATTCTAAAAAATATTACCGAAATCTAGGTTGTTCGTCGGAAGTTCACTAAAAAGTTGATCAGTTTCTAGAAATAGTACGTCGAAAACTAGGTAGTTGACTGAAAAATTCAATCCATGCCGAAAAGTCACCGAAAAATTTAAATTTTGTCGAAAAATTCATTGGAATCTGAAAATTTTTCAAAAATTTTCAGAAAAAAATTCATAAAAAATTCTCAAAAATTAAAAAAAATCATAAAATTGCTTCTAACCTTTCTGAACACCTTTTTTTTTTTTTTTTACTCTCTCTCCGTTTGTCTTTCTATGTGTTTTCTTTGTGATGTATGGATCTATTTATAGGGATTGAGCAGAAGAGTTTTTGATCAATCCCAATTCCATCTTGGATTGGGATTCAATTTTTGAATCCAATCCAGACTCTGATTGATCTCAAATTCACGGTAAAATTTTAAAAAAAAATTTTTATCCTAATCCCAACCGAAAAGATAAAAATAAAAAAAAATATATTATAAATAATAAAATATGTTAATAGATAAATAATTAATATATATATTAATAAATAATAATAATAAATAAATAAATAAATAAAATATAAAAATAAAAATACGAATGAACTCACCCATTTAGATTAAGCTCAATTGATTCGGGCCAGACCCAATTAATCTGAGCCTAAATCAAATTGAGTGTTTACAATGATTATTGTTTTTAACATTTCAATATCATAATATTAGGAAGAGAAAGTTAAAAACAATTAGATTTATACGGTTGATGGAGGTTCAAATGATTGATCATGAACTTGATTGACTTTGGGTCAAACTCAAATCTTTTTTTTTTTTTTTCTAAATCATCATCTTACTGCTAGGTTTGGCTCAAGTTCATCCAACTTTGTTCGTTATACCTCTATCTAAAATCAGCTCAAGTGGTAAGATTAAGAATAAGCTTAAGTAAAAAATTTTTGCATTGGAATATTTAAAAGAAGGATTATGCCAATGAGTGTCTTTAAGACACTTTTAAGATTAGTTAAGTTATTATTTGTGGAAATATTTTATATTAAGTGAAATGGTTAATGATTAATTTCATGAATTCTATTGTATTAAAAATTGTAATATAATCTTAAAAAATACTCTTATGATACTGTTAGCAAAATCATTAAAAAATACTTATAAAAAGTAAAAAAATTAGGATAATATTTTAATAATTATATAAAGATCCCATAATTGATGAACTTCTAATGACTTGGTCTTAAGTCTAAACACACACACACAAAAAAAAAAAAAGAGAGTTAAATAGAAATGTAAATCCAAGAAAAAACGGACAGCATAGAATTCCTGTCCCCAACAAGGACATGTCCAAACAAAGGACAACACAGCCAATTCCAGCCGTTAGCCCGTTGCACACTTTTGAAAGATCCAATCCGACCAAAAACAAGACAAATCCAAAACTTCCAAAACGAAATCCAAGCTGGCAATAGTGATATGATCTTTTGCTTTTACTTCACCCAGTCTTTGCCCTACAGGGACACGTGTCACCTTTTCACGATTCGGTCACCATCATTGTATCCCTCTTTCTCTCTTAATCATTCCCTTCCGCTACACGTGCTGTCGGTCCTTTTTCTCGCCTGATTTTCCTCATTCTAAACCCTAATAATACTCCCCTCAGATTTTTTCTCTCGGTATATCTCTCTCCAAACACTCGAAAATTTTCTTTATTTATTTCTACGTTTTTCACAAAAGCGAAGGAACCCATCAATATTTTCTTTTTTTTTTTTTTGGCTTCCACTGAAAAAAGTTTTCATATTTTAGGAAATCCATAATTTTCCCCCTCCTCAGACGCTCTGCAGAAACCAAAACGAAATAACGTTTGAATTGATTTCTATATTTTTAAACAAAAAACAAAGAAAACCCGTCCATATTTTCTATTCTATTTTTCCACTGAAGAAATGTTAATTTTTTGAAACTCAAAATAAAGGATTGTTTTCATTTTTATTTTTGATAATGGGAGGTGTGACGTCAACGATAGCGGCGAAATTTGCGTTTTTTCCGCCGAATCCGCCATCGTATTCGGTGATGGAGACTGGAGGGAAGCTTGTGATGAATGGGGTGGTGGCGAGGGATAACGTCGACATTTTAAAGGTGGGAACCAAGAGAGGGAATCAGGTGGTGGCGGTGTATATAAAGAACCCTGGAGCTGCCTTGACTGTGCTTTATTCACACGGGAATGCAGCTGATCTGGGTCAAATGTATGATCTTTTCAGTGAACTTAGTTTACATCTCAGAGTTAACTTGTTAGGGTAAGTTAAAAAAGCTTTATCTGAGACCTTTTATTTTTGCTGATTTTTTATTCTTATTTATTTAAATTTTGCTTTTAACAGCTATGATTATTCTGGATATGGACAGTCAACTGGGAAGGTATGGCAGCATAATAGTTATATATATATATATATATATTAATTGTTTGCTTGGTTGGTAAGAAAGAATGGAGTGAGGGAAGAAGTTTTTGACCGTTGGATCTTTCATTTGGTAAGATAGTAATTGAGAAAGTTGGGAGTGATGAAGAGAGGATCTTATGTCTTCAATTTTTATTTACTGATATTTTCGCTTTCAGAAAATAGAAATATTTGATGAATTAGGAATTTAAGGCATTTTAATAATTTTTTTTCCCTTTACATTGTGTTTGGCAACTTGAATTTGAAGGGGGGATTTGAATTTTAAGTTTGGTATAAATTCTAGGGATAACGCTTATGAAAATCATAAATTTTCATGATTATAGTAATAGTAATCTCCGTGGATTTGTAATGTCTGTATTGAGTAGTGAAGAAATATCTAAAGAGAAAGGTGAGTTTTAAGTTCATTTTCTCATATTATGTTTTGTACATAGGCATGTTAAACCTTTACTTTTTCCTTTTTTACATAGATAGGTATGTTAAATCTTTGTTAATTTATATATAATGTCTCCAATACACAATTTTTATAACAAATCAAATTCAAATTCACACTTTCATATGCATGATATCATACAAAGCATTAATGCCTTGAATTATTGTGCAAAGAAAGCAATATTGTAATTCTTATTTCAGTTATTTGGTTTGGGTCAGTTCTTTACTATGTAAATTGAAAAAAGCGTAATAATGAGGCATCTTATTTCATCCATATTTTAGTTGGATAATTTATGGAAGTATAATTGAGTTATGCATTTTTATATCTTTTCTTATTATGCAATTTCCTGACAGCCAACTGAACAGAACACCTATGCTGACATAGAAGCGGTATATGGATGCCTTGGGGAGAAATATGGAGTGAAGGAGGAAGATGTTATCTTATACGGTCAATCTGTTGGGAGCGGACCCACTCTAGATTTGGCAACTCGGTTACCTAAATTAAGGGCCGTTGTACTTCACAGCCCAATCTTGTCTGGTCTAAGAGTAATGTATCCAGTGAAGCATACTTACTGGTTTGACATATATAAGGTTCTTTCCAACTTTCAATGCACAGTTATATAACTTAATATCTTAACATTTTACTTTATCTGGTGGTAACTATTCTATCTTAATATTTGTTTCCCTGTTCATGATGCAGAATATTGATAAAATACCGTTTGTCAATTGTCCTGTTCTGATAATCCATGTGAGTATTTCTTTAGTTGTTTTTAATGATTTACACTTTGTAGTTGGATATTTGTAAATGTTTGCATGTTATGACATGGTTTGATCACATAAGAGTGATTGACTGTTAAAATTTTAAAGAAACAGAGTGGTTGACAGAGCATCACTACTAGAGTGACTGATGCTATAAATTTGCTTTGCATGCATTTCTTTTTTCAAATATTTATACTTTTACTTTGGGGTTATGCATATTTCTAGTTCCTATACTTTATGTATTTGATCGTGGGTTGCCATTCTAACAAATGATTGAGTAGGAGCTTATATGCTTCTTGTGATTTATGTGTTTCCCTTTGTTGGCTGTATAACAAGTATGAGAACTACTATAGCTACTGGATTTTATATTAAATTACTTTTGATCAGGTATGCAAACACCATGAATAAATTTTTGAAGCCTTAAGGTAACATCCTCTTTTACCATACCGTATGGGGACTTTAGTTAGGGTGTGTATGTGGAAAATCCCACAGATGTTTTGAAATGCTGCATTTTCAGGTGCAGCATTTGATAATTCATTGTTTGTATAGTTGTTTCATAAATTTTGAAGTCACATGAAAACATAGTTATGGTAAAAAATGCAACAAAGAATTGTCATATGTGGGCTGTAGGTTTAAGAAAGTTGAGATTTGAAGAGATGGTTTGAGGAACTGTGTGGTTACAATAGAGAAAAATGGAGAGTGGAATAGGTATCTTGGGTTGGAGAGAGAAATAGGAAGTTCTAGTGATTAGGAGGAAAGAACAAAGGAAAAGAAAAAATATAACAATGGTAGAAATTGGGTGATGTTGAAGTTGCTGGAGTTTGGAGAAGAGTTGGTGGTTATGGCAAATGAGATCTGTGGCCAGTGATAAGCTTGGTGGCTGGAGGTTGGTATATGAGAGCTTCTCTCTCTTTTGGCATTTTGCCTGTTTCATAGGTTTCTTCTCATTTTGACATCTGACCTTTGTAGATCAGATGTAAAGTGTGATTTGGAGCCTTGTGTTACAAATAAAGGGCAATTTACCCAAATAATTCACTTGCATTGCCACACATTGCATGAAATTTGAAATTTATTCTTGAAATATGATCCTGCTTCAAAGTACTTCATCTAAAGTCTAATCACACTGATGCTGTACTTGGATTAGGTAATTGACGATGGGAATTCATTTCTAAAAAGGATTTCAAATTCTACAATGTCAGCTTCATCTAAATAATACTGTTTTTCAGCCATTGAAAGACAATATCCCAATATGAGGAAACTCTGACTCAAACAACAAATTTATAATTTCTAGCATTTGAATTGCTGGTTTTAAGTTGCCTTGATGTATTTATTTTTTAAAAAATCGAAATACCTCATCCAAACTGATTGTTAGCATATAATAGACCTTTGGTAGTTTGAAAAATGCCCTCAATGCTTCCTGCTACCTCCTGTTTTCGAATGCTTTGCATGAATTCGAGGTTAACACTAGGACATCTTCAATGCTTAATTCTCTTTTTGAAAATCATGTTCTTCCTGTGTGTTGCCAACTTCTTGATGAATTCATGGTGTATCTGGAATTCTTACACACCTCCATATATGGTCTTCATAAATAATTTGATCAGACAATTTGCCAAGATCTTGTGCGTATATATGTCTAATGTTTTCCAACCCTTCAAAAGTGACTAGAAACTCAGGAAGGTTATGATTTGGAGTTGGCAGATATCTTGTTAATAAGTGACAATTCCTTATTCTCAAAATGATTGCTGTATGTTGACAAACATTTTATTGTTACTTGTAATCTTGGAATGTATTGTTAATGTTTCCAGTAAGTATGCTCCTTATGCAAGCATTATTCATTTGTTTTTGTTGTATTCCAGGGGACTGCCGATGATGTTGTGGATTGGTCCCATGGCAAGCAGCTTTGGGAGCTTTGTAAACAGAAATATGAACCTTTATGGGTTAAAGGAGGGAATCATTGTGACTTGGAACTATATCCACAATACATCAAGCATCTCAAAAAATTCATTTCAGCCATCGAGAAATCTCATCTTAGAAAAGGATCTGGCCCACTTTCTGATCAACCAGAGAAGCCTCGGAACAGCACAGATTTTGGGGAGACATCAAGACCAAGCATGGATCACAGAGAAAAGTTTAGCACTAGTTTTGACCAAAGAGAAATGCCACTGTTAAGCACTGATCATAGGGAAAAACCAAGAACCAGCACTGATAAGAGAGAAAAATCAAGAAAGAGTGTGGATCGGCCTGACAAATTCTGTAATGGCTCAGACCAACCTGAGAAAGCTAGGAACAGCATTGATCGGTTAGTTTGAATTCATGCTACCAGTTTCCTTTACCTTTCTATTCCGTGTTCCGTTATTTTATGTGTTAGTTGTGTCCTTATGATGGCATGAGTGTAAACAAAAGTGGTTTTGTTGACTGTTGTAATTGAAATCTAATGCAGCTTTGGGGAGATGATGCGATCAGTTGGATTGTGCAATATTAATTGTTTCAGGCCCACGACAACAGCTGTCTGAGTAGCGGAAAGATCAGTCTACTAATTGAGGTTGTATTTTATTTCACTTTATTTAACTTGATTGGTGGATAGAGGTTGTTTGGGTGATGGGAAAAAAAGCCTAAAGCCATATTTTAGAGTGAAAATAGGAAATCAATTCAATCAGGGGAATTGTGCATCTTAATTGGTTGCCCTTTCGAGTTAATAAATCCCATAATTTGACTTCCCCATTGTATGTGGAAATGCATGTCTGTATGACAACACAGGCATGAACCTTATAGAATATATGAAATTCTGTTCAAAGGCTTAGCTGCCCTGGTTCGTGGGCTGTTATCTTTGATTCTGATATCGGCAACGATACCTTGGTAAAGCACATGAACATGGGATTGAGCTTTTCTGGTGTGCCTGCAAGAGTTTCTAGCTTGCAATATGGAGATATAATCATTCCATTCAAAGATAATGGAAGCCAAGGATTTGCCCCTAAAAGCTCGAGCAACCCAGGAAAGCTTTGTTGACCAATCTTCTGTGTCTCTCTGAATAAGGAGAAGCTGCAAAAATCTTTGCCAAACATTTTAAGCTGCTGGCAGAGAAGATGTAAACTCTTGGTTCATCCCCACATTACACAAGTAACATTTTATATTCTGAATTCAATCACCCGACAGCTATGAAAGAGAGCTTGGGAATGTGATTGGAAAACCAAACCAGTCTATGCACAAAAAAAAAAAAAAAAACTTTAGGCTTAGTGTTCTCAGAGTATCCGAAGTGGAAGAAGCAGCTGTGTATACTCAGAATTGGAAGTGGGAAGGCACCCGCTTATCCCAGGATTGAGCTGTTCCTCAATTTCGAGAGCTTTCTCAAATCGCCAGCTCCAATTGCAAGACCTGGGAGTGGTGATATGCCAAAAAAAAAAAAAAAATAGACAAAGTACCCAAAAATAAGAAATCATGAATTGGCAACATAGCCATTAATAAAAACACACAAATTATACAGAATTTATGTTACTTTCAGTCCAAGATATCAAAACAAATCAAAGAAAATTGCAATTACTGTTTACCCGGTGATTTGAGCTGTGCTACCATTGTTTTGCTACCGTGGGAGCCTGTGTATTAGAACGGAAACGCAAGCACTGAACCTTAATCAAATCCAAACAGCCCGTTTTAAACTGAATTACAATCCACCAATAACTAGTCAGCTGCAATACTTTGGGTACATTCAAACATAAGAAAATTACAAAATTTTGGGTTTGGCATCCATGTTCCTATGCACTTCTTGTCTTTTTCAACATCAAGCATCATCTCCTCAAACCATTTTTCGCTCCATTTTCCCCCTAAATAGGGAGAATACCTTTTGCAGCAAGCTGTGAAAGAAAACAAAAGGAAAGGAAGCAATAAACAGCCATCAGGAAAAGAAAAAAAAAGGTTCTTCAAAGAAATTCAAGACTTTTAACTCTTGAACGAAAATTCTTTTTCTTTTTTGGTAACATTAGTCGTAGATACCTCAAAAGTATCAATATTTTCTCGAGCAATGGCATGCCATTTTTTTCCTAATGGCAAACAATTTATATAGCAAGCAAGATCATATTCCGTTTGTTTGGAGATTTTGTGGCCATTGGGCATTATTTGTAGGTTCAGAAACTAGGAACAATTAATAAATATCTGTATAATATCATACGCATTACAGTGAGAGTTTTGATATAAAAAAGGTACAAAAAGTAACTAGTATCACAAATACACATTCCTATGCTTATCCACTTGCCTTTGTAGGCCCTCGCTTAAACGAGATAAAATAATATTTTCTATCTTATTCGGCTCTGGTTCATGGTCATCATCAGGGCTGAAATTTCTTCGATCTTCCTCAGAGCTAAAGCTTCTTTTGTGCTCAATATCTTCTTCAGTGTGAAAATTTTCGCTGGATTCAGCATCATCAGAGAGCTAGACCTTTCGTTCGATTCTGTCTGCATCCAGATAGAATATATGAACACCGTATTTCTCCACCTCGATATTATTTCTCATGTCAGAAAAATTCAAATGACGCCTACACGTAAAGGCTTGTCTTCATGAAGCATATTGCGATCAAAGAAAATGTTCTGTACCGGTTCGAAGTACCACAAACGGCATTCATTATCATAATTAGATAACGAAGTCCAACTCCAGATATTCATGAAATTATGACGATCACTGCTAGTGGTTTTCAGTTGGCATTTGCACCGAAGATAGTCAAGTTCAAAGCCGGACAAGTATGATCATGGACAATGTTTCCCGAATCAAACTCGAAGATTTGGAACGTAATGATATCTTATATTCATGAAATAAATCTTGCAAGACAACAGATATTAAATTAAATCAAAATCTCTAATAATCTTTAAAATAATATTTTACAAAATCTCAAGATTACAAAATTATATTTTTTGTAGGTTAATAGAATATATTAAAGCTCTTACTAACAAATCTTTTACAATCAATAATAAAGTAACCACTTCGAAAGTGATACAAATTAAAGACAAATATTAATCTAGCTAATCTATGTAGTTATCAAGATTAAGTCTCCCAAAACACAAATACCAAAATCTAAAAAAGTAAAGAAAGATAAAAAAATGAGTACGATAACTGAGCAAGTAAACTGGCATCCCTTCAGTTGGATTAAACATGCCACAAAACATTTAGACTAAAACATTAACTAAATGATTCAAAAATATTTTAAGTAATTTTTTATTCACAAATATATTCTCAAAACAAGATTCTTATATCACAAAATGGAATCAAATATCACAAAATAATAAATTTATTTAGTCTTTAGTAACATACTACGACCACACTAAACCTCTGTGGCATAGGTTAGAATCATAATTTCTCCCCAAGTGCAATGGAAAAAAAAATATAAGAAGTAACTAGATCGTTGCACTAACAGTCATAATTAACCTGTTTTGTATGATGAAATAAAACAAAAATTATAGTAATCCCTTTAGTGTAATGGGATAGAAGTATATCACCGATGGCACGATGAATAAAAACTACTATTACCAACTGGTGGCATGATTTGAAACCAATATCGATATCACAAAATACATGCCGACATGGCTAACAATTAATCCCTATTAGTAGGATTATAACATAGTCATACTAGGAGATAAAAGCCAAAATATATTTTCAGATTATCTAACATATACAAATTCAATATTTATAAATTTTATCAAATATAATCCATACAAAATAAATTCCACAATCATTCTAAAGCAAAATTTCATATTCCGACAAACGATGGATATATAAATAGATTGTTATGAAATCATATTTTGAAATCAAAACAATATCAAACCATATTCCAAACTCATAACAAAGAAATCATATATATGTTTTTCATATTCAACCCGATTTACAAAACAAATGGACAAAACAATATATATTATAAATTTCCACTCTAAACATATTGAGGCAAATTTTAAGGGACATAAAAACTAAAGGGATATCAAGTCACTTACTTGATACACTAAACTGAAATTTAAACAGCGAATCACTCAATTCTCTTAATATCCTAATAATTCAAAAATTATTCAAAAATTATAATTTAACCCAAAAACAGAAATTTAACGAGGCAAACCTTTCACGGGTTATCCTAAGCAAATTAGGTTGTATGATAACTTTTTCGACAATTCGAAACTATTTAAAAATATTTTCTTTTAGCATATAAAACAAATTTTCTTTTAATAGAGCAAAAATGTCTAAAATTGAGTTTAAATATGAAATTAAGGATTAAAACATAAAAATCAATAGCAATATAAATTTTTACAAATATTTAATTTTGAACATTTAATAGTAATCATTTTTTGTAAATCTGAATATAATTTAATAGCCTTTTAATAATACTAATAATATGAAATTAACATAGTAAAAATATATTAAAAAAGTAAAAATTCATTAAAAACAATATAACTAAAATTCAAGTAATTTATAACTAAATACATCAAATATTGGCTGGAAATAATTTTTAAAATAATTAAAAATGAGAATTTTTAAATTCTAAAAATTTCACATTTTGTGATCATTTGTCTTACTTTGAGACACAAAAGTTCGAACATCCTACAGTTCCTAATGACAAAGGGAAGCACGAATTTAAAGTAAGAATGTAACACTACAACCTAGAATTTTGTTTCAGCATAAATAATTTTCAGAAACCTAAGTTTCTAAGGCCAAAACTTAATAAATTATCACACATAACTCAAATTTTTTGGGTTTTAGATTCATAAAGCCTACTTTGAGGCTTCAATTCTCTTAGTCTATAAATTATCTGAACAAACCAATTATACCATTAAAAAGTTCATATTTTGTACTATCAAAAACACCTAAAATTCGACAAAATAGTCCATCGGAATAAGGAATTCCGAATTCAAAGTTGGACATCTATAATTGTAAAAAACCCAAAAATAAAAAATTTGAAACACTAAATTCTCTTAAATTATTCAACTAAATAAAGTGCCACACATACCATTAAAAAGGTCCTAAAGGGACCTTTCTATTGGTACCTACAATTTTGTTGGATTTTTACTAGAATATTGCTTGAAAATTTAAAATATTAAAAGGCCTAACCTAATAGTTGGATTTTTTTCTCACAAAGACCAAAATTAAAGAGTTTAAAAGATAAGTATTACCTCCAAATCTTCAATTACATGATTAAATTCTCAATCTAAACCATTTTCTTCTTTTCCTTAGATTTTTTTTTCTAATTTTCATATTCTCTTTCCTCTCAAAGAAATTATAAAAACTGGCAAAGTTTTTCTTCTATTTTTTTTAATATATGGACTGGGTCAACTAATTAGGATATGAAATTAGGCTTGGGTATTACATACTCTACCATTTAAAAGAATTTGATCCTCCAAATTCAAAATTTGGATCTCAAAGTTTATTTGGCTTTCAATTCAATATCATATGACATCCATGGTGTATCACTTTAATAGCTTCAATCAAGTCTTCTCTTTATTATTTCTCACATAGCCAAATTAATATAAACTCCAATGTATAAAATATATCCATTATAGCTTAATAAACAAATATTCTAAGCATCGAATCTCAATTCTTGTTTCAACATCTAGTCATAAAACATGACTATTTTGCGAATTTCATATAGTCAAAACATACATAATACTCAACTTAAATCATATCTAGGTAAAATCACCTTAATGTAATTTTGACTATTCAAATGATTCTTTACCAACAAAATCAAACATAACAATTATGCCATAATTTCACAACTCTTCTAAAATCTCAAAATTTTAAATATCAGAATCTATAATCTATTCACTATTAACCCATAATCACTCTCTAATTTAAAAGAATTCATTATTTATTAAATTAGCATTAAACCAAAATCCATAAATTAAATCAAATCATGCTTTCACTGTGCACTTTGGTATTTCACTCAGATATAACTCAAAATTATCAAATTGACTTTATAATACTTCTTGCATCAGTAATACCACTTGTCCATCACACCTTTTACAATGAAGTTTCTAATTCACTCTCATAAATATGTCCACATATATCATTAAATCCTAGTAACAATGTCACCAATTATCTGCCTCAAGAACATTAAGGACATCATATACTGATTCTTGTTTTTTTTCTTATCATAAAATTTTTACTTAACCATTGTAAGATTGTGATAAATGTCAAACCAATACAATTGATTGTATCCATAAATTTAGCACAAAAATCGAAACATAAAACTTTGAGTTTGTGGTACAACTCCTTGTTTACATATTATTACTTTCCAAATTCAATAATCAAATTCCACATATCCATTTCACCATTCAACAAGCTTATAACCATATAATATCTCAAATTTTTCTTCAAGAAAGTATATTATTTATTACCTTCAAGTCAATATCAAAAATCTATTTATGAAGAGGAATCTTTTTATTAG